GTAGCACACCTATAGGCGGTTTCGTCGGCGGTTCCGGTTCTGCGCGCGCTGGCGACGGCGAGAGGGACACCGGGTAGACCCGGCGCGACCGTGTTGGCCGAGGGCGGCGGCAGCGGGCGCGACAGAGCTGGTGCTGCCGCGAGCAAGACGGCAGCGACGCGCGGCAAGCCGCACGCTGCCATGGGCGAACCTAGCGCATGAGCCGTCGAATGGCCTACGACACGGGGCGAGGAGCGGCTCAGAGCTCGGCTGAGAGTGTCGCACAGCTGGCGCCAGCAGCAAGCAGCTCACCTACAGAGAAACGCGTTTGAGTGACACACTAGCGAGAGATCGTCGAAGCTCGCAGACGCTGTTCACCTCGAGATCACGGCGGATTGCTTCGCATAGTACCTATATTCTTTACTTTGGACTGTGAATGTGATGTTCCACACCTCATTCAAATGCTATTCACACCTCATTCAAATGCTCTTTTCATTCAAATGTTACTCCATCTACTGTGGAACATCACATTCACAGTCCAAAATCATGCATTAGAAGAGTATATAGGGGGTATATCTTTGATTAGAGATTCATTTAGGGCTGATGCAACCTCCGACTCCCTTCCCGTACATCCAACTGCTCCCGCCACACCCTTCTCGGACCATCGCGCTGCTCTTCGCGCGAGTAAATACATGATTTCGCGCCTTCTGGAACGCCTGCTGATACCGTCTTCCCGGCAGCCGGCAGCCTCGATACGGCCATCTCGACGACAGAAACGCGGCCGAGATCACTCGCAGACGAGTCGTGCGTGTGTGTGTCGTCGATCGCCGAGCTAATCGGTGGTCTCGCGCCGCTGTTGAAGCACACACTCTGCGCGAGCACCTCGCTTCATCATCCTCGCCGGCACAGGACGCGTCACTGGTACTGCTCGACGAGGCCGAGATAATGCGCGAGACGGGTCGGAGGCCGCTATCTCGCACCCAGCTGTGTCGCCATCGCGCTCAGTATGGCCGCCTGTGCACGAGTTGGTCGCGTGGCGGCTTTACGGATGAGTCGCGGCGATAATTTGTTATAGGTCCAGGTGATAGTCCTGGATGGGCAATGCATACGCCTCACTGGGCCTTAGATCGCCCGACCGCGTCCCGGTGCTCTGCCGTCGGATTTGTGACTCCGCCGCACTGGATCAGCTGAGCAAGGTTCGGGGAGAATCCCCGGACAGATCTTCAGATATTTGACGGATGACCGAAATCACCCCGTTTTTGCCCATTTACGGTCATCCGCGTCAAAATATCTGAAGATCCTACCATAGGATTCTCCCCAAACCTTGCTCAGCTGATCCAACCTGGGGGGAAGGCCAGCCCTGGGCAAAGAAACCAGTACCTCAACCGGCTTCCCTGAGGCTAGTGCCATTTCACTCTGACACGCTAATCTTGAAAACGTCTCCAACGGAGCTCCGTGTTGCTTCCAGCGCCCTCCCCCGCGCTTCCTGCGGCCATGGCCGATGATCCTAGGAAGAGAGGTCATCTGGCTACCGCGAGAGCGACCCAACTCGTCGACATCGTCCGATGATGGTGCCGCAAAGTCAGCCTTCGGAGGCTATCGTGGGGTGGAGCCGGCAGTAGCCGTGACATGTGGTTCCACCACCCCTCGTAGGCTTTGCCTCTGACCGCCACCGTTCCCAGGCTGCCTACTGGGATGGAAAGGAAGGCTCGGCGAGCGTATAGAAGCGTGCTCGACCTCGTCGTGGCAACCTGTACGGCAGCGCTGGTAGGCGCGATGAGCGTCGTGCCACCTGACCCGAGACAGGTCGCAGGCGTCGTACCGAGCGCGTCGAGACCGTGTCCTGATGTGGTCTGCACGGGTGAGTCACGTCGGCGTCAAAGGAGCGACGTGTGACCTGTCAGAGCTTGATCTCTGATCTCAGCGGCGTCGAGTCGTCTCCGGCGCGCAACAAATGTACCTCCCCAGGACGCGCAGAGGCAGCTGCGACCCCGCCGAGTAGACGGCGGCACACCGCGCCACCTGCTGTGTGCCGCCGTCTACTCGGCGAGGTCGCAGCTTCCACTGGAAGGCACCGAGAGGTACATTTTTCGCGCAATGGTCAAAATCAAGGTTTTGTAACGCGGGCTGTGCCACAGTGAAATGGCACTAGCCTGAGCGTCACAGCTCGGTGATCGCGCAGGCCGGACACACCACTGTAACGGCCATTCCGGGCCAACAGCGCTGCGACCGCGAAGTGGCGGTGGACATGCTCCCATGTCGCCGACGCGGCGCCGGAGTGGCCGGCGCTGCTCGCCGCGACCACGACGGCTACTCTGATACGGGGTCTCTGGGCCGACCCGTCCTACCCGACGGTGGCACTCTTCCACGTCTCGCTCATGACACATGAGAAAAATTCTGAAACGGCCTTGGAGTGCAGCAGAGTCACCGACGAGTCGGTCCGCGTGCCTCCTCGTGTCCCGTACCGTTCTCACACATCCATAAACTCACTAAGGCCCCACTGAAGCAAGCCCTCAATCCTGAATCCTCAGATTTTACGGGGTAGATTAGGACGCTGTCCACCCCCTATCAGAACCCTAGGGGTACCCCAAGTTTCTGAACGCATGCCGAGACGCTCTATATCTCACTCGAACTGTGAAGGGGAGGGCGGAGGGGCAGCGGTGGAAACGCTCCACACCCACACGGCCGGCCACACCTGCGCCCGTCCCCCCTCGAGCCCCACACGCACACGGCACGGCGGCGGGGCCTATCCCGCGCGAGGAGGGCCCGAAGAGAAGAGCTGGTCGATTCGCTCTGCGGCAGAGCCGTCTGCCGGCGCAAGCAGCGGCTGCTCGTCCGCCTAACGAGTGAGTAGGGCGGCTCAGGAAAGGCTTGTCGTGAAACGCATGCTGGGCCGCCCGCCCGCCCGCCCGCCTCTTCGCCCCTTTTCCTACCCCTCCGCCGCCCCCGCCCCCGCCGCCCGCTCGTTGCCTACAGGCAGAGCAGCCGCGACGAGGTGCAAAGGCTGAGACTGGCGCGACCCTTCCCCCCCCGCCCCGCCCGCAGGTTGCCTCGCCCTCCTCCTCCTCCTCCTCCCTCGCCCCCGCCTCCCCCTCCTCCGCCGCCTCTCCCGCCTCCCCCGCCGCCTCCCCCGCCGCCTCCCCCGCCTCCTCCGCCGCCTCCGCCTGCCCCGCCTCTCTCCACTCATCCCGCCGCCCGCGCGTCGCCGCGGGCTCCGCCAACACCGGCTGCGTGAGCGCCGGCGCAATCGGCACTTGCTCCCTCTCGGGCGGGGACAGGTCGCGGTCCACACGCGGACGCGGCGGCGCTGCCTCCGGCTCTGGCGGAGCCCCGTCCAGCCGACCAACCACAACCTCGCCCGCCTCGGCTGCCTCCGCCGCCACCCCTGCCGCCGCTGCGGCGTCGAAGCGGCCGCTCAGCGCGGCGGCGGAGGCGCGAGCGATGTCCGCCAGCGGCACCATCACCGGCACCTAGCCACGAGCAAGGTAATCACACCACCAGCTGTGAACAGGCGCCACCGCCGGCAGTTAGCCACGAGCAACCCCCACCCGCAAACCCGCACCCTCGAGGCCCACCCTCCCCTACCCCCCCGGTACCCGAACCCACCCTCGAGGACCACTCCCCGCGCTGCCTGCCAGCGGCCACCGCCGCACACACCCGGCAGGGCACGTCTAGTACAGTCGAGTACAGTCTAGTACAGTCTAGTGCAGACACGAGGCACTACTAGCAGAGCCGCACGCACCCCGCAGGGCACGTCTCGCATCTCGACGCCAACAGCCCCGTCGGCGTCGGCGGCGTCGCCCGTCAGCGGCGAGCGGGAGTACCGTCGGTGGTTTCGTCGGAGCATCCACTGCCTGCGAGAGTAGCCGAGAGTAGCCGAGAGTAGTCGAGACTAGTCGAGACTTAGCCGAGATGGGCCCGTCAGCCGTGGCTTCGTCGGCGCCGTGACACACACAGGTCAGAGTGTGAGAGTCGTGCAGTGCGCCGTGCATCGCATGAATACACGAAGACGGTGCACACAGCCGAGGAATGCCGAGTCAGCGACATTTGTGCAGCCGAATGCAGCCGAGGGCGCGTCCCCGCGCGCGTGCCAGCTGGAAGACGGCCGGTGTGAAAGACAGCACGAGCCCGCACTAGCCCGCATTGTCGCTTCTAGAGGCCTCTGCCGGAGAGCGCCGCCGCAGAGCAGCGCCGCCAGCGCCACGAGTCCGAGGAGGGACGGGGAGGGGATCGTCTCGGCGTCGAGGCAGTCGACGCGCCTGTACACGTCGCCTGCGAGCAGGCCGCAGGCGGAGGTCTGCAGGCCGGGAGCTGCAGACGCTCTCTCTGGCCGCAGGCCGGGGTCTGCACACGCTCTCTCCGCCGCTGCTCTCGCCCGCAGCTCTGCCGAAGCAGCGCGGGAGGAGCCGAGGCGCCCCGCGGTGAGCACAGAGAGGCGGGAGGCGTCTCGGAGGAGTCCGGGCGCACCGAGCTGCTCGCCGCCTCCAAAGAATGCTGCCTGGAGCGGGCAGTTGTTCGCCCGGTTGTCCGTTCCGCAGGAGCCGTCGCCCTCGCAGAGCTCGCCTCTCTCAGTCCGACGCGAGCAGCCGCGACTGTAGGACCGGCGGGCAGAAGCGGGGTGTCAGGCTGTGTGATCTCTGGTGTGGCGGCGGGCGGTGCGCGCGGATCGGCGCGCGGGCATCAAGGAGGGCTGGGAGCGAGCCGTGGCAGCAGCTCGAGCTGTGCCGGCGACGGACAGAGCTCGGGGTCGATGAGCTCGAGGCACGTGCGGCACGAGTAGCCGTTCGCGCAGGCGGCGCAGGGCAGCAGCCGAGTGTCACGCCACATATTAGGGTCGTATGGAGGGCGTCTTGGTGGGCGCGGGCGGCTCGGCCTCCCTGGCGCCGGCTGTATTTATTGGCACTGGCCTTCTTTTATTCTTTTATTTTGAGCTAGCCTTCGATGTTCGGACAGGTATTTTTCTTCCCCTGTGCTATAGCGCCGGCTCACACATCCGCCTGCCGACCACAGACTCTTGTTACCAAACCTCAGGCCGTCTGCCTTCGATTCGCGAGCATGGCAGCGAGCGTATCACTGCCGATGCGTGAGCCGTGCTACGTCGCGGTCGGCGTCATGACCGTGCCTCACTACCGGAATCGGCGCGACGCCGCGAGGCAGACGTGGATGACGGGCAGCAACGTCGGCTCGACGGTGGTCGTCCGGTTCCTCATCCGCGCTGGCGGCTTGCATCCGGACGTGCTTGCCGAAGCGAAGCGGGAGCAGGACGAGCACGGTGACATGACGTTCCTCCCAGTGGCATCGGAGCACGGCAGCCCGCCGCAGCGTGGGCGCGTGCTCACGCTGCACGCCTGGACGAGGCGTGCGACCGCGGTCTGCCCGACGGCGCGGTGGGTGAGCAAGGCGGACGACGACGTGTACATCGTCACCGTGGACTGGGAGGCGCAGCTGCGGATGATCGCCGCGGGACGCGAGGGACGCGCCATGCTGCACGGCAAGGTTGTGTGGCACAACTGGAACGTTAAACACTTTGTGCCGCACTCGTTTGACTACAGCTACAACCCGGACAACTGGAGGCGCGTCATCGACTACCTCGGCGGCGACGAGAGCAGGGCGCGCTTCCCGGACGAGCGCCGCCGCTTTGAGCTCTGCAGGACGCACGGGGCCCGCCAGTGCGAGTGGTGCCCTGCCGAGGCAGAGTGCACCGGCCCGTTCTAATCAGTTAATTACTGAATGAATCAATGAACTCATTAGGTGCCCTGCCGAGGCAGAGTGCACCGGCCCGTTCTAACCAGTTAATTACTGAATTAATCAATGAACTCATTAGGTGCCCTGCCGAGGCAGAGTGCACCGGCCCGTTCCCCTTCCCCACGGGCTGGCTGATCACCATGTCGGCGCCGCTCGCGCGCGCCCTCGCCGGCTCGCCGGCGGTGGCCGCGGAGGTGGCCCGCGCGGAGCGGCTGACCCGCTCGTGGGGAGGGCCTCTCGTAGAGGACGTGTGGCTGGGCTCGGTGTGAACGGCGTCTCTTCACACCTGCTGCTGTGAATAGGCCTCTCCTGGAGGACGTGTGGCTGGGCTCGGTGGTGCACCGGGCGCTGGCAGACTGGCCGGTGCTGTGGGTGCAGATGGACTTTGCCCACCAGTTCAACGGCGACTGGCCGGCCGTGTGCCGCGCCGAGAAGCGGCCGCGCAGCTGCGGCTACGAGTTCAACACCACCGTCGTCTACCACAACAAGCGGACCCGCAAGGTGCACGCGCACGTCGCCGGGGAGGCGGGCGCGCACGTGCCGCCGCAGCCCGCGCTCAAGTGCGCCGCGTCCGCGGAGTGGCGGTACCTCAACCACCACATGGCCAACTTTGCGGAGTACGTGCGCCGGGAGAGACGGCCGAGCGGCAGCGGGCTCTGCGTGCTGTACGAGCCGCGCTTCCTCGTGCCGCCCAAGCACAACCGCCTCTTCCACCACCCGTAGGCTTTAGCACCTCCGCAACGCACGCAAAGAGGGGCTCGGTGAGTGTGGGAAAATAAACCCAGACACCAGCTGCCGTGATAGTTTGCGGGGGGGGGGGGGGGGGGGGAGGGTTGTTGCCATGGCCCATGCGGTGTTGGGTGGGTGGCCTGGTGGCTGGCCGGGTTGCCGCGCTATAGCCTACGGCTCTATAGCCTAACGCGCTTAGGCACAAAACCTACCTCTTTATTTTTAGGTAAGGTAAGGTAAGGTAAATCTTTATTTTTAGAGCTAGAGGGCTGCCGGCGGGTGTGAGTAATTCTCTCTCAGCCCCCATCCCCGGAACGCGATGTGTTGTCAGTGAAGTTCCTTGTGGAACACGTGGACACACCGCGCACGTCCCCCGCGCCGATCGACAGATCTTGTCATGACGATATCGAAACCCACGAGTCTGAAGGTCGAGACGCCGCAGTCGACGCGCCACACCGAAAAGCTCTTATGGTCTCCCTGTGGCGATGGTGCGTGCAAGGCGGGCACCCCTGGCAAGGGCGGTGCCACCCTGATGGCAATGGCCTTCTTCTACCGGCTGCGCAGGCGGAGCATGCAGCGGCTGCAGGAGGGGGATAACCGCAGCCGCGCGTGGCGGGACATGCAATGGTCGGGGCGGCAGTACAAGGCCAATCGACACGGCGTGTGTGGCCTCTTCGTTGGCGAGTGGGGCGAGCGTAACCTCCATCTTCGGTCTGATGGCATCGTCTACGAGCACACGAGTGATGACCCGAAGCCCAAGGAGATTGCGTTCTCAGAGATCGCGTTTGTGAGGGCTGTCCGGGGGTTGCGATCACATCGGTGGCTGATCAAGGTGCAGCACGGCCCCGACTACCTTTTTTCCGCCGCCTCACCCAAGGCGCGCAATGCCTGGGTTTGGTGCGTGCGCAACAACGTCGAGGCTGAGCGGCGCAGGGTCGCGCTCATAGCGGCACAGGAGTCGGTGGCGTGGAGGCGCGTGCACTCCTTTGGGTACGGCCCACAGCTCCTCGACTCCAGCCTCGCCGCACCCGTCAAGTGCCGCCCGATCACGGCCTTACCCAAGCTGGCAGAGGGCCTGGCTGAGGGGTGTCATAGGTGTGGAGCGTGTGAAGGGTGGGAGCGGCCTGCCTCTCGCTGTCGGGCGCAGTCGCATTCTTGTGGTGAGTGAGCTGCTAGGGCCGCCCGCTGCCCCCGCACGCGAATTGTACACTCGTTTTTGCCATGTCCCAGTGCGCCCACGCGACACGGAGAGAGAGGTGCTGGGCTGGTTCACGTATCACGATGCGGGCGCTTTTTTACACGAAATTCAAGCTTGAGAGGGCACAGGTGACAAGGCTCACAACCCGGGGCTGCTCCGCGCCATGTGCATGGCGTTCGAGTGAACGCCGTGCAGGCAGCCCGTGCCTTTTGGTGTACCCCGTTTGTGCCGCGTCCTGTGCCCCCGAGTTCATTTTATAGCAAATGTCGTGCGAGGCGTGAACCGCGCCATTCGCTCTCACCTGGCAACCCTGTCTGCACGTCTCGCGCGCGCGTGAACAGGGCTCCAGGCCCCAAATGACGTGTGAGTGTTAGATTTGTTTGGTATTGCTAAAAATCCTCCTTTTATAGAGAAGACGTCTGCAACAAAACGCGAAAAAAAGGGTACTATTAACAACGAAGGCGCTCTCAAAAAAAAAGGCAAAAAACGCTCGCTATCAGAAGTCGTCCTTGAGCGCCTCACACAGACTCGGTCGCATTGCAACCACCGTGGCGCCTGCTCGAAAACCGGGCCTACCACCGCTCTCTCTGCCTACCACCGCTCGAAACCCACCCTCTCTCTGCCTACCACAGCTGTGATCACTCGTCAATACTGACCCGCTCGTCAAATACACACCGCGCTCTCGTCTCTCGCCATGTTCCGTCGGTCGAGCCAGCTCTCGCGCTTCGCCCGTCCGGCCTCACGGCAACTGCTGTCACAGCCAGTCCCACCGTCGCCGTGGCAGCACACTGGGCAGACCACTGACCGTCATACCTGGCTACTACCCAACTTCTTCCTCTGCCTCATGTGCGGCGTCCACGCGTACCGCCATTACTCCCGTGGCAAGACGGTGCCGGCAGCGGCCGTTCACCACCTTCTGCGAGTTTGCGTGATGGAGCTCCATGAGCGGCACCATCACGGGCACTCGCGCTGGCACAACATCCAAGCGAGTCTGTTGCAGTGAGCATGAAGGTAGAAAGGCGGGTGAGCATGAGTGATGAGACCGGCCGTCTCGAGTGTGTCTGGACAGGAACTGTGTCATTGCGTGCTCTCTCGTGTCACGGGATTCAAGCAAAAAAGATAACTGACTCGATGTCTTGTGTCTCCTTTTACCAGGGTGACGGGGTCCCGGGAACCAACTTGAGCAACTAACTACGAGACCCAGCGCTGTGCGGTCACCGGGGTGGCGGTCAAGCTCGCGACGGGGTAAATCTGGTGCGTCTAGTATCACTGGTGGGCTGGGTGTGCAGCAGCAGCGCTCAAAAAGAGGCAAAAAGCTCGACAACTGTTTTGAGTGTCAGCTTTCTCGACGCACCGTCCTCGACCCCGCCGAAAAGCTGGCTGGTGGTCGCGCGCGGCGCGTCGGCGCGGCTCCTCAAACTGGTCGGGCACCTCGGCTGGGTCCATCAGCACGAGGCCAGCCCCGTCGGGCAGCCCCGCGAGCGCATGAAGCCCCTCCGAGAGGCGCTGACATATTCGAACGCAAGTCATCTATCTAGACCGGACGCGGAACCATCCACATCATCACTGGCTCGCGGCAGTAAGGGCACTCTTGCATCAGCTCAGAGCATGGCCCGCAAGCACACAAGTGCCCGCACGGAACCGCAGCATGCGACTTGGCTCTCGCGAAACACACGATACACGTGGTCTCTCCCCCCATCGTGGACTCGGGGGCAGCCGGCCGCCCCGTGTCGAGGCCGGCGTCGGCTAGTGAGACGGCAGCAAACGGCTCGGTGACTGGCAGATGCTGCTCCGCCGCCTCTCCCGCCTCTGGCTCGATCAAGCGCTCGATGGCGCCGACCCGCTCCTCGAGGCTGCCCTCGGTCGCCGCGCCGAGGCTCGCCTCCAGCCGCTCGACACGCAGCGGCAAGTCCCCGCCTCCGCCGGTCGACTCGCTGCTCACCGCCTCCTCGCACCGCGACACCCGACGCGCCAGCGCCTCCTCCGCATCCACCTCTGACCGGCGCAGCGCCTCTGCCAGCTCTGCATTCTTGCGCAGCGCCGCCTGCTCTGCCGCATCCGCTCGCTCTGCTGCCTCGCGCTCCGCCCGCCTCGCCGCCTCCTGCTCAGCAGCCAGCCGCGCCGCCCTCTCCTCCTGTGCGCGAACCTCTGCCGCAGCCTTCGCCCTCCGCTCCTCCTCGAGCGCGAAAGCAGACGGCGCCTTCTTGGCCTTATTGTTCTTCGCCTTGGCCTCCTTCTTGGCCGCCGTTGCCTCCGCCGCCTTTGCGCGCCGCCTCGCCTTCTCCTCCTCAGCCCTCCTGTCCGCAGCCTCCTTCTCGCGCCGCGCCGCCTCTGCCTGAGCGGCTTTGCGCGCCGCCGCGGCCGCCCGCTGCTCCTCTCGCTGCGCCTCCTCCGCCGCAAGCCTCTCCGCCTCCCTTGCCCGCAGCGTCTCCTCCGCTGCCGCGCGCTCAGCGGCCAGCTTCGCCGCCGCCTCCGCCGCAATGGCTCGCCTCTGCTCCTCCAGCGCCGCCGCGTCCGCAGCCCGGCGCGCCTCGTCCGCCGCTCTCTCCGCTTCGCGCTGCCGTGCCGCCTGCTCGCGCTCTCGCGCCGCCGCCGCCGCCTCCCGCTCGCGCTGCTCGCGCCGCCCCTTGGCCTCTAGCGCCTTCTCGACCGCCTTCTCGGCCGCCTCCGCCGCCCTCAGCGCCGCTGCGTGCTCTGTGAGAGCGCGCACGCACCCGGTGTGGTCCGTTTCAGGAGCACTGGCGGCGTCGGCAGTAGCTAGCACCTCGGCCGCCTCCTCCTTGGCGAGCTGCAGCGCGGACCTGCCGTCTGCAGAGCGAGCCTTTGTATCCGCGCCAGCCCGAAGCAAGCGCCGTACGACGGCGGGGTGGCCGCTATAGGCGGCGAGCATCAGCGCGGTGCCACCGTCGCTCCTCTGCAGGTTGATCTCAGCGCCGTGCCGTATCAGCAAGTCGACCACCCGCTCGTGGCCGTGGCTGGCGGCGAGCATCAGCGCGGTGGCGCCGTTGCTGCCCTGCAGGTTGATCTCAGCGCCGTGCCGAATCAGCAGCTCGACCACCCGCTCGCGGCCTTCCTGGGCGGCGGCCACCAGCGCGGTGTCGCCTTTGCTGTCCTGCAGGTTGATCTCAGCGCCGTGCCCCAGCATCAACTCGACCACCCGCTCGTGGCCTTGGAGGGCGGCAGCCATCAGCGCGGTCCAGCCGTTGCTCCTCTGCAGGTTGACCTTCGCCCCGTGCCGTATCAGCAAGTCGACCACCCGCTCGCGGCCGCTGTGGGCGGCGAGCATCAGGGCGGTCCAGCCGTCGCTGTTCTGCGGATTGATCTCAGCACCGTGCCGTATCAGCAGGTCGACCACCCGCTCGTGGCCGTTGTCAGCGGCGCGCATCAGCGCGGTGGCGCCGATGCTGTCCTGCAGGTTGACCTCAGCGCCGCGCTGCAGCAGCAGCTCAACCACCCGCTCGTGATTTTGGAGGGCGGCGCACATCAGCGCGGTGCCACCGTCGCTGCTCTGCAGATTGATCTCAGCGCCGTGCTGCAGCAGCAACTCGACCACCCGCTTGTGGCCGTGGAGGGCGGCGCGCATCAGCAGCGTGAGGCCGCTCGACTTGCCTCTCTCGTACGTCGCGTCGGCCCGCCCGCCGCCCTCGAGCCACGCCAGCACCGCCTCCTCTTCGCCACGCTCCGCCGCCAGCACGGCCGCGTCGGAGCAGCTCAGGGATCCTGCGCCGCTGCCAAGCTCCATGCCCCAAACATGTGGAACACTCACCATGTTTCCGCGCCCCCCCCCGCAAGGCCGCGCGATACACATGTTTGGGTTCCGGCTCTTTGGGGGTAGAGTAGCACGAACGTCGAGCCTCGTAGGCAGCCGGGGTCTCGAATCAGGGTCGTACAAAAGGTATAAGGTGCAACAAGCGCGCGTGCACCCCCCCCCCTCGAAGGGCGGAATTTTCTTTTTTAAAAATATCCCCCTCCGCACTTGCTGCCAGCAGCACAACCCCGAAGGCAGGACGCGCATCCTCAGTTGCCTCTCTGGTGACGGGTGTCGCGACAAGGCGGAGTAAGAGAAGAAGCTCAAAACCCCGTGCATCCAGATCACCCGATATTGACATGTATGTGTTCGCTATCGCTCTCGCCGTCTCAGGCTCGTCTCGACCGACGATTCGATCGCTTCGCACATTGCGAGGTTGGCACTGGGAAGACATCGCGACTCATCTCTCCGGCATCCGAGCGCTCCAACGCGCCAACCATCCGTCGCGGCCAACGGTGCTAGAGGGAGAGGGCTTCGTGACGCTCGAGCATTCCTTGGATATGCTGAAGGAGCTCACGATGCTCGCTCCTCAGTTTGTCGCCCTCTCTCCGCTAGACGGGTCGGTGATAGGGTACACTCTCACGATTGATCCCCGGGCCCTCCGTGCTGGCCTAGCCAGCGAGGGTCTCCACGCCTGCTACGAGCCCTTCTTCTCTATGATTGAGAGGCTGGAGTGGGAGGGCGCCGCGCTGGATGACTCGCGCTGGGTCATGGGTGGACAGTGCTGCGTGGCGGCCGGCTGGCGGCGGCAAGGCCTAATGCGCCGCCTCTACGACGCGCAGGCTCAGGCTCTCGCCTTGGAAGATGAGCGTCTGCTGCTTTCTGGGACCCCGCTCACGTCGGCGTCTGCCGTGGTCACGGCGATTGACACGGCCAATGTGCCTTCGGCGCGAGCACACGAGAGAGCTGGTTTTGTGGAGATTGGCCGCTACAGCTACGCGGAGCGGCCCTCCCTGTCGAGTGGCGGTGGAGACGTAGATGGGTGGTCGATTGTGCTCCGCCCCACGGGCTGAGAGCTCAGTGGCTGCTGGCCCTCTGCAGGCTAGACGGCCTGCAACGGAAGTGAGAATGAAGAACGCTTGGTGTGTGTCGTGATGATTTTCTACGGGGGGGGGGGGGGGGGGTGCGTCTAGACAGCAGAACTAAGAGAACTTGAGAACTTGAAGTTTGAACTTGTAGTTTTGTCTTGACAGCTGTCTAGACAGCTGTCTAGACAGCTGTCTAGACAGGCCCTCTTCACAGAAGGGTTCCCCCAAAAGTGCCCGCGAAGAGTCATAGCAGCAACGGTGGCGGCAACTGTGGGGGGCAACGCCGACGTCGCAACGATGCTGCGGAAAGGGCAGAGCAAGCGTGGGCACGCATTGGTCGGGTTCCATGCTGCAGCCGCGAGCCCCGCGCCGCCGATGAAGAAGCTGCGGGCCGGCAGTAGCCACGCCGACCCGCCGCTGCGCATTGGGCAAAGCGCGAGCCCAGCAGTTCAGTCAGGCACGCACGCTGCACCCACGACGGCGGCCTCGGGGCGCGCGCGAACGAACGCGCTTGCGCCGCCGCCACGCCGTCCTTTCCCATCGCCGCCGGACCGCCCTCCCTCCTCCGCGACAGACGCCGCAAACACGGCGCTTCTCGCCGCCCAAGCAACAGCAGCAACAGTGGCAGCGAATCTTCGCGTCGCTGGTGCACGCGGTGCGGACTCGCCGCAGTCTGGCGGGCGCTCGTCTCGCCCGGACCAGGCGGCCGAGCAGGCTGTGATCGCGGCCGAGGCGGATGGGCTCGGGCGGGTGCTGCCTGGCGGCGCGCCGGCAAAGGAGCCTGCCGAGGCGGGGGCGATCGGCGAGGCGGCGGTGCTCGTACCTGCAGTTATGTGGATCGTCCTTCACCAGTGCATAGAGCGGAGGGCAAAACTAAAGGGAGGGATGGTGCTTCCGTCGGTTTCCATTGAGAAAGATGTTTTGTCCACATACGTCAAACGTCATACCACATCCATCCACGCCAACCAAGAGAATGCAACTCAAGTTTTGATCGCTCACATTTGGCTGACGTGTTGTTGAGTATCAGAGTATGATTCCTGTCTGCAGGTCTATTCACACCTCACGCGATCTTCCATGTCCAGACAGCGTCCAGACAGCGTCCAGACAGCGTCCAGACAGTGTCCAGAGCTCCAGACAGCGTCCAGACAGCAAAATCGGAGCGTCTAGACAGCTATTCAGACAGTACTAGCACTTGAGTGTCACAGCTGATTGAAGTAAAGGGGGATGATGCAGCTGCCTGCCAGAGCAGAAAGATTCCTGAATTCTCTCCACTACAAAAAAAGTCCAGTGCGGAACCGAGATAAGGTAAGGTAAGGTAAGGTAAACGTCTCCACACACACAAAGTGGTGGGGCAAGGGGGGGCGACCCTCGCATCTCCACGCCCGGGACACGGGCAGGAGCCCCACGGCATTCAAAGTGCAAGCACCGGCCCGGTGCCGTGGGTGAGCAACCTGCACCCCACTCCTACTCCTATAACACAACCCCCACAGCGTGGTCGTCTACGTGTTCAGAAACACCAGCGAGGCGAGGGTGAAGGGGTAAGGGGCTGTGTGGGGCTATCTGTGACCATCTAGCCTGGGGGGTAGCAGGAGGGGGGGGCAGAGGGTAAGATATGGGTGAGGCCAGCTACAAGTCGGACGCCCTCCCGTCGTCGGAATAATCCTCGGAGCGGTCAGCGTCCTCGTCGTCGTCCTCGGTCTGCATCGCGTCGCCAGCCGTGAACCTGAACACGGCGTCGGCCGGCGCCGAGGCGCCGGCGGCCGTCATCAGGTGCATGACTATGCGGTCGCGGTATGCCGCATCGATCTCTCCGTGCTCGGCCAGCTCGAGATCATGGCCCCGAATGCCGTGTGCTCTCTAGGTAATGTGTGGGAGCTCCACAAACCAGGTTATTTTTTTTCCGCTCTCTCTCGTTCCTTTCATCTTCGATATCGCGCTCTTTTCACCAGGCGTGTGTGAGTGCCGCCCGTGTCCGCCACACTCCACACAATATCAAAAACGACGTCCAGCTCTCGTCGCCCCGCTCCAGCCCTCGCCGTCAAGGACACGCTAGCCAAGAGCGCTCCCACTCGGACTCCGGCGTGGCGTCGAGTTGAGATCGCACGCTCCGCAACCTCACGTGCCCTCTCATCGCATCTCCTTGCCAAATTGCGGGTGGCGTGCCGGAGGCTGCGGCTGCGGCTGCGGCGCCGCCCAGCTGTTCAGACCGGAGCCGGGACCCTGAGCGCCCGTGCCGGCGCCGCCGGCGCTGGAGGAGGCGCCGGCGGAGGACCAGTCCACCGAGGGGGAGGTGGTGGGCACCGAGTAGAGGAGCGGGCTCCACGTGGACGAGAACGGGCTCCAGCCGGCGCCGGCGCCGGCCGGAGCCGAGGACGGCGCCGCGGTGGCTTGCTGCAGCAGCGAGAGCAAGCTCGGCCCATCACCGCCGGCGAGCGGCATCGGCGGCGGCTCAAAGGGGCGGCTTTGCGAGTCCCACGGCGGTGCGGCGCCGCCCCTCTCGGTGCTGGGAGCGCAGCGTGGCGTCCAGCCGGCCGGGGCAGGTCCAGCTTCGGCGGCCGGCGCGGCATGCGCGGTGGCGGCTGGCGCGCTGACGGCTGGAGTAGCGGCAGCGGCGGCGAAAGGCCTTGCCGCTTCCCCCCATGCCGGAGGGTCGCCGCCCGCGCCGCCCGCGCCGCCCGCGCCGCCCGCGCCGCCCCACGCCGCGTGGCCTCGCCGCCGGTCAACTCCGAGCCGTCCAGACCCCCACGCGGGCCCGCTCGGGCGGCAACCATAGCCAGCCTGGGAGGCGGCGGCGGCGGAAGCGGCGGCGGCGGCGGCGGCGGCGGCGGCGGAGGAGGAGGAGGAGGAAGTGGCGGCGGCGGCGGGCGGCGGTGCCGCGTGAGGTGGGGCGGGGTGGGGTGCGGCAGAGTGCGTGTGCGGCGGCGGCGCAAGAGGCGGGGGCGCGTGCCCGGCGGCCTGTGCTGCCCAAGGAGGGCAGGCGGCAGGCCGGCACGCGGGCGCTCCTCCATGAGGGGGAGCCGTCCTCCCCTGCCTCTTGCTGGCCGCCGCCACCGACGCCGCCACCGACTCCACCCCTCTGCTCCCACACCGCTGCGCCAACGCCTCTGCCGGGGGCGCCGTCGCAGAGGAAGCGTCCATCGGCACCGCGCCCCTCGCCGCAACGTCGCGAGGCAAAGGCGTCCGCTCGCCGCCGCGCGCCTCGCGCCGCCCTGGCCCCTCCACCACTGACCAGCCGCTGCCATCCTGCCCTCCCGCTACCTCCTCGAGGCCAGCCTCGAGCGCCTCGGCCGGCTCGAACGGCCCCGCACCCTCTCGCATCGCCGCCGCCTCGCCCACCTTGGACAGCGCCGGCCGCGGCGGCGGCTGTTGAGTGGCCCCCCGGGCCAAGCCGACGATCCCACCTCTGGCTTCCGCGTCCGCGCTTCCGGTGGCCTGCGCGGCCGCGGCCGCACCCGCACCTGCGGCCGCACCCGCACCCGCGCCCGCGCCCGCGCCCGCACCCGCGCCCGAACCGGCACCCGCGCCATGCGGTGGCAGATCGGCCGAGCGACGGGCGGCGTCAGCGGGCTCGGGCTCGCGGGGCGCCTCGCGCGGCTCGAGGAAGCTGCTGACGGGCAGCCCGCGGCTGAAGAGGCGGAGGCCACACGCTGCCGTGTCGACCGCCGCTCTCGCGTCGGAGGCGGCGGTGGCGGCCGCCGCGTCGAGGCACGCAGCCACCGCCGCCGTGGCGGCGGCGCAGGGGCGCGGGAGGGCGTTGAGCCAGCCGACTCCCTGCTGGCCCAGCAGCAGCGCCACCGCCGCCGCCGCCGCCGCCTCGCTGTCCCCCTCCTCTGCCGCCCCCGCCACTGGGAGGGGCGGGGACGGGCCGCCGAGCAGCTCGTCGACGGCGCGCGCCGCCGGCGGCAGCCGCGGCGGGAGGCGTAGCGGCGCGGCGGCGGGCGGGATCGCCCCCGGCACGGCGGGAGGGCTGTCGTCGCTCGAGCTCGAGCGGGCCGAGCTCTGCGCGGAGGGTGCGGGCGGCGGCGAGAGGCTGTGAGAGCCGCCGGCGCGTGCGCCGGAGAGACCAGACCCGCGACCAGCGGTGCTGCGACTTGCGGTGCTGCGACCAGCCGTGCTGCGACCAGCCGTGCTGCGACCAGCCGTGCTGCGACCAGAGGCCGCTTCGGCGGCCGCTGACGGCTCGGCGCGCGCGCGGGCGGGTAGGTCATTTGTGGGGCGGGGCACGTCAGCACGCGGGGCGCCTGTTCACAGCCAGAGGTGTGAAGAGACGCTGTTCACAGCTCGAGGGGCGGGGCACGTCAGCACGCGGCGCGCCTTGCGCCGCCACGCCTCTCGGCGGAGCGCCAGCCTCGGCCGGGGGGGCGGGGGCGAAGGGGCGGCCTGCCCGCTGGGACTGGACGTATGAGAGGGCAACCTCCCTCGCCCCCCGCTCTTGGGACGGCCGCACGGCGCCGCCGAGGCTGGCCCGCGCCTGAGGGTGAGGTGAGGTGAGGTAAGGTAGACTTCTGGACACACACGAGGTGGCGGGGCAAGGGCCAGGCAACCCTCGCGTCTCCACGTCTAACGACAGGAGCCCCACGGCATTAAAAGTGCAAGGCCCGGTGCGCGTGGGTGAGCGGTGTGTGTGTGTGTGTGTGTGTGTGTGTGTGTGTGTGTGTGTGTGTGTGTGTGCGTGCGTGCGTGCGTGTGTGTGTGTGTGTGTGTGTGTGTGTGTGTGTGTGTGTGTGTGTGTGTGTGTGTGTGCGTGTGAGTGTGTGTGTGTGTGTGTGTGTGTGTGTGTGTGTGTGTGTGTGTGTGTGTGTATGTGTGTCGTGTGTGTGTGAGGGGGGGGGAGGGGGGTCACGCCACGCGCCTCGGCGGCAACAGCCCGCGCGCGAGAGAGCTGGCGCGCGCGCGCCTCCTCGGGCGAGGCGCCGCCGCTGCTTAGCGGACTGCTCGAGCCCGCAGCGTCCTCGTGCGCCGCGCGCTCGCCGGCCCCGCCCGAGCCAGCCGCCGCGGCTCCCGCGGCCGCAGGGGCGTGCGAGTGGCGGCGGCGGCCGTGCGGAGCGACGTCGGCGTCGGGCGAGTTGGCGAGCTCGCGGGAGGAGGTGCGCGCCTGCGAGGGAGATCTGGCGAGATCTGGCGAGATCTGGCGAGATGTGGCGAGATCTGGCGAGATGTGGGGAGATCTGGCGAGATGTGGGGAGATCTGGCGAGATGTGGGATCTGGCGAGATGTGGGGAGATCTGGCGAGATGTGGGGAGATCTGGCGAGATCTGGGGAGATATGGCGAGCTCGCGGGAGGAGGTGCGCGCCTGCCGCATGGAGGGCGAGCCGGCGAGGTCGAGGTGTGAACAAGGCAGTGTCTAGGAGGTGTCTAGGAAGTGTCTAGGAAGTGTCTGGGAAGTGTTTAGGAGGTGTCTGGGAAGTGTCTAGGAAGTGTCTAGGAAGTGTCTAGGAAGTGTCTAGGAAGTGTCTAGGAAGTGTCTAGGAAGTGTCGCCTGTCGCAGGGCAGTGACGAAGCGCGCCGACGGCTTGGGTTGCTTGGGGGGTGTCGAGCCCTCGCCCCTCTCCGCGCGCGCGCCTGGGTGCGGAGAGGCAGGCGGCGGGGTGAGAGGCAGGCGGTGGGGAGAGAGGAGGCCGCTGGCCCGTGTCGCGGCAGTGTCGCTCTCTTCGTGTGCTCGCGTCGCCTTCTCTGGAGCGTCTCGTCAGCGGCGGAAGTGTCTCGGAAAGTGCGGCGGAAGTGTCTCGGAAAGTGCGGCGGAAGTGTCTCGGAAAGTGCGGCGGAAGTGTCTCGGAAAGTGCGGCGGAAGTGTCTCGGAAAGTGCGGCGGAAGTGTCTCGGAAAGTGCGGCGGAAGTCTCGGAAAGTGCGGCGGAAGTGTCTCGGAAAGTGCGGCGGAAGTGTCTCGGAAAGTGCGGCGGAAGCGTCGCGCCGGGAGAGGGAGTGCCGCGAGGCGAGGCGCCGCCGCACCGCTCCACCCCGCCCCCGTTCCGCCCCACCGACGCGCTGACGTCGTGGCCGATGGCCGCGGCGCCGGCCGAGACCGAGGCGACGGCGGTGATTGCTCCGTCGCCACCAGCGCCGCCGCCCCCGCGACCGGGCTCGGCGGCGCCGGCCGCCTTCAGACAGCCCGCGAGCTTGTCCGTCCCGGAGCGCTGGATGGCCTCCGCCGCCACGGGCGCCCCGACGTCCTTGCGCACGCCCTCCCTCGCGCCAAAGCGCAGCCGCCCCGCGCCGGCAGCCGACGTCGACCGCTCTTCCCCCGGGCGCCCAGCCGCTGCCTCCGCCGCGGTAGAGGGGGCGTCTCGCGCGTCGTTGTCGTCACCGGGGGTGCTGGCGGCGCTCGCCGCCACGCCGGGCTCCTCCGCGCCGTTGAGGACGATCATCGGCTGCGCGACGCCGCCGATCTGCGGGGGTCGCTTGAACAAGGCGGCCGCCAGGACGAGTCGGAGCTCGATCTTGGCGCAGCCGGACCGCCCGCTCTGGCGCAGCGCGACGGCCAGTCGCGTTCTCCGCGGGTCGACCTGCACTCTGGTGCGAAGGGTCAACGCGTAGGTGCCTCCCGGCCAAGCCGCTTGGACGAGCACGGCGCCCGGGCTGTGGTCCGCGGCTACACGCAAGGACGACGCAGCGAGTGGCCCGGCCACGTCGAGCTGCGCGAGGAGGGCTCCCACCGAGCCGTCCACATTCTGGGCCCAACTGTGCGCGGCGCCGCGTACTGTCATTATCAACGCGCTCAGAGCTAGCGACTGGGTTCGGGCTCCGAGATGTGAGGGTTACGCATAGGGTCCTCAATCAACGGTATGGCGGGTGGAGTGCTCCCTATGCCGCGGCGCCCCTGTCGGTTCGGAGACGCCCGGCGGCCGCGCGCTTGGTGCCGACGTCGACCAGCTGCTCTCGCGGCGCCGAGGCGTGCCGCTTCGGTCACGTCACGCGCGCTGCGAGGTGTCTTTTGGCATGTGCGCGCTTGGCATAGACGCCAGGAAGCTCGCCTTCCTTGCCTGCGGCCGCGGGCGTGCAGGCGGGCACGCCAGACACGCGGCGGATCAAGCTGACCAAGCGCGCGCCCCTAGACGCTGAATACGGATTCATGTACCCCAACCAGCGCCCGAGAGGGCACGCACTCCACTGTATTCGGCTGCAGTCCGCTGTATTCTCACTGTACTCCCATCCGTTGTCTTCGCGCGGTGCTCTGAATACGCTGCACAAGACCGTCTTCCCGCCCTCATGCCGGCGTATTCACACGCGTAGGCGCGGGACGGTGCGCACGATGAGCAAGCGCGAGGTGGGCGCCGTTAATTAGTTAATTAATTAGTTAATTAGTTAATTAATTAGCAAGCGCGAGGTGGGCGGCGTATGGGCGGCGTAGCGGAGAGGCGGGCCGAGAGGCGGCGGTGGGGGAGGGGCAGCCGAGAGGCAGCCGAGAGGCAGCCGAGAGGCAGCCGAGAGGCAGCCGAGAGGCAGCCGAGAGGCAGCCGAGAGGCAGCCGAGAGGCAGCCGAGAGGCAGCCGAGAGGCAGCCGAGAGGCAGCCGAGAGGCAGCCAAGAGGCAGCCGAGAGGCGGTGGCCAGGGAGGACG